GGATAACCAGGGATTTCTGAATCTATGTTTATGAGTCTCCGACATTCTCCACTCTTCTACCAAAAAGTTGAACTCCCATATTTCTAACCCAGGTTGAGAATATCTTTTACTGCTTAAAGTTGAATTCTGGGACTCTTGAAAAAAATTCTTAGACAGTGGACCTTGAGTCATAAATAACTCTAAAGCCGCAATATAAATTCATAAAAACTCACCATTTTTGTTACATCACAACTTCTACCCTTCCAGACACGGGTGCAGAAGCAAATGGATTCTTCCATAGAGCAGAATAGCTAAGAGCACAGAGTCTGGCCTCAGGACTCCTAGGTTGTTTTTGTTGTTGTTGTTTTTGTTTTGTTTGTTTTTAAAATATATTTTATTGATTTTTTACAGAGGGGAAGGGAGAGGGATAGAGAGCTAGAAACATTGATGAGAGAGAAACATCAGCCGCTTCCTGCACATTCCCCACTGGGTATATGCCCGCAACCAAGGTACATGCCCTTGACCGGAATCGAACCCGGGACCCTTGAGTTCGCAGGCCGACGGTCTATCCACTAAGCCAAACCGGTCAGGGCAGGACTCCTAGGTTTGAATCCCAGATTCATCACTTACAATTAAGGGGCCTTAGCCAATGAGCAGCCTCCAGAATGAAAACAACCCTAGAATTTGCTTCATGGGGCTGTGGAAGTGATTTGATAAGATGATGTACGAGAAAAGCTTAGCACAGTGTGTGGTGCATAATAAGCACTCACTGAATGTCAGCTGCTATTGACACTATTAATATCATTAAAGTACGTAGCTTGTGAAGAAGCCTAACCTACCACATCTATCATCCCAGCTTGGTTTAGACTTGGTCTTTGTTCTGTTCATTTCATGGTGGACGCTAACTATGGCATATTGGGTAAGTGTGAGGATGCATTCCTTTTGAATATCATAGGGAAGTGGACTTTAAAACTCCTGTTGCAAGTCTAGCACTCTTTTAGATGCTTCCTTTCCCCACTGACTGACTTGCTATTGCACGCAAAAGCTGTAAAAAGAGAGACATCCAAACCATCTGGTTCCCTTGCTGAGTTGTTTTCATTCTGCCCTTCAGTGAGAAACATTTGAGTTTTTAAAAATTCATGAGTGATACCACACCAGTGGGCTAATTTTATCCCTAATGGTGTGTATTATACTTACGAGGATTCATGCTTTCTAGAAATGCCAGAAATGAAAATCTTAAAAAGTAATTTTTTTTGTTCTATTTCTTCATTTTATTCCTTGACACTTAGAAGTAGCATTTGAATAAAAACATCATTTTTACTACCAATGACAATATAGAAGTTATGTGCTGAGCATTAAAAAGGTAGTATAACATCGCACATTAACTTAAAAATTAAGCACCTACTGGGTGCTAGGAAGGGCTGTGGGACACAGGGTTTATAGTAGTGAGTCAGAATAGATTTTGGCCTAGTAAAGTGTACAATTGACTGGGGGGTATCACTATTATACCAATTATTGTAAGGTTAAACCATATAAAATTGCCAATTGGCTAGCATTTCTTTCCTCAAACGGCAATTTCATTTGATTCAACCTAGTGCTATGAGGGATTACATGACGTTACAGGAACGTGTCTCAGGGACTCCAGGGATGACTTCTGAGGTTTAAGGATGAGTGTGAGCTGGGTAGGCGAGGGGGTGCGGGGGGAGTAAGTATGGGGACTAGCAAAGGTTTGAAGAGTTGGGAATAGCATGTGCAAGATGAGGTTGACAAAAGGAGCCAAAGTCTTCCTTATAGGACCTACTAAGAATATTGGACTTAATCCTACGTCAGTAGGAATATTGTTTAGAGGTTTGAACAGGAAGGTGATATGATCAAATTGTGTGTTTTGAAAAAGTCACCTTGCCTGCCACATTGATTTCAGTGGGCAAGAGCAGATGGGACAAAGTCAGCTGGGAGGCTACTGCTGGTATCCAGGCAGAAACTGATGGTTGGCAGTTTACAAGATGCTTTCAAATGTAAATTCATATTTTACCCTTATAACAGTTCTAACACAAGGTGTTGATGTCAGCTTCAGCCACATGGCATGCCCAGGGTCAGATGGTTCTGGTGACACTAGAACTCTGTGGTATGACCCTTGCCCCATGGTCTCCTGGGAGCTTTAGGCCCATGTACCAGTATCTCTGAGTGTGCACAATTGGTTTCTCTTAAGAAAGGATTTGCTTATAAGGAACAGAATTCTCATTCCTTAGTGGTGGAGGGGGAGATAAAAGGTTATTCTTAGCCTCGTTTTATGACTGAGAGTTGAGAAGCAAGCAGAACGTAACATGGAACTTGATATTAAATTAGAGCACCTTTTGGGGAAAAAATACATTAATTAATTTTATGTATTTATTTGTACCCTGCCTTATTCCAAAAATGGATTTGAAACAGCTTTCAAAACTACATATGGTATGACAAGTAGAGAAGGTAAAAAATCAGGGTAGACATATTAAGGTGATGGCACAGGTGTCTTAAGTCCAACAAACATTTGCATAATCAACTTTAAGATTCACATGCCCCTCTCCCCCAATAAAAATAAACCAAGTGTTGTGCTCAGAGTAGCTTTTCCTTCTACTGGAATCTAGAAAATTTTCCCCATTGGGTCTTCATAAAGACTCTATCATGTAGCGAGCAACACCCAGACCTGTTTCACAGAATGAGCAAGTGAATGAATTAACCCAATTCATGTCCGGAGACCATTTCCTATTAGTATGCCGAGTTATGCGACCTTTGGTAAAAGTTTCCTCCACAGTAAAGTCAAAAATTTGGACTAGAGCTAGACTTCTCAAAGTGGGTGCCTTGGGGTACCTAATAATGTGACAGGAAAAATGTGAAGCCATAGGACAAATGGCACATGGGTTTTGCTTGAAGATTTTTATGGCAAAACAACATTGAAATTTTTATGAAATACGTTTAGAGTTGTCTGGAAACATACAATTGAACCTACGTGTTTCATTTTGGGGAAAATTCCTGTTTCTTGAATAGACATCAGAGGCACATCAATAACCCCCTTTCCTTTATGAAGATATAATACAAAACTATGTAAAACCTATAGTCTTGTTTATATATTAGTAATTTGCTTTCAATTCGTGGAGTGTACATGTCCATTACCATGACACTATTTTTTAAGGGAGGACATTTTGCCATTATGCAAAGAGAGACAACTCACAATTCTGCACAAATAATATGTTCCAGGAATGGTGCTTTATAAATATTTTCTCTGTTCTCCATACAGTTCTGCAAGGAATTACCTCCACGTTATGGATGCGGAAAGTGAGGCTCAGAAAAGTTAAATAAATGTGTCTGAAGTAACTTAGCTAGTAGATGAATAGTGCAGGCGTCTAAGTTTTATTCTGTTGCCTCAGCAGGGTAAGATTAATTTCAGGAGCAGCTTGTAATTCGCACGTTTATTTTGACTTATCAGACACTGTGATGCTGATCATTAGGTGTTATCCAGGATACAGATGGGGGTGTAGGTTATATACTTCAGCAGTAACTTAACAGCTGTTACTCTATGATTTATTTCAGGGTGTGGTAGTTTCCCCCCCAGTAAATCATTGATAATAAGGATTAAAATCAGCTCCTTGTTTCTGTTTTATTGCATGTGTTTCCATCAAAGCATGAATCCCACTGAATGCTTTGCCAGTCATTGCAATATAAAGATAGTCAAGGCAGAATCATTTTGGAGCTGCAAATGTCTTCAGGGGCCATTTAATCGGCAGGTTCAAACTGTGGTCTCTGTAGTCCTAAAGGCCCTGTGGGGTCCCCTCATGGCTCCCGTGGATGATGGAGCAGAATCGGTGATGAGCTGGAGGGGCCTGCCATATCATTCCACCTCCACTTCAGCCAGCTCCTGCTTTTCGGTTTTGGTCCTGCATCTAGGCACATGTGTGATGGAAGAAAGGGTGCTATCTCTAAAGAAATAAAATAAAACAAAAGTTAAAAACAAGTTTGAAAACTACTGGTCATCCAACTTATTTTCTTTAAGGGAACAAACTTTGGCTCAAATAGGTGAAATGATTTACCTAAGAACACAGAAAAGTCATGGCAGAGCTAAAATTAAAACTATCAAACCATCATGTTCTACATGGATACACAATTATATTTATATACAATTATATTGGTCAGTAAAGTTGGGAAGATAAAAAAAGCATAAAAAAAACTAGTCCTCTAGTTCCCAGTCTGGTGGTGCAGCCACCGTGCCATATTGAATCTTATGCAGCTCAAGGAGGGCTCTCAGTTGTTGGGAGGGAACATTCTTAAAGTTGGGCTGATTATGTATCCAGATGTAAAATACAGGTAAAAGTTTTGTGCTTAGGGTATATTTTAATGTCTCACCCGAAATACCCTTCTCTTGAACTTAAGTGTCCTAAATTTGAATATTTTCTGTATCATGACTTTAAAGTCTTTTATCTTAGGATCCCAAATCCTGTGGGATTCTCCATGCAAAGAGCATTGTCAGCAGCGTCTCAACTGCACAGTTAGGGCAGAAAACCAAGTCACTCTCACAGCAACTCTCATCAGTTGGCAGTGATGGTGGTGGTTGTTTCAGTGGTTCTGAGATCCTCCCTGGATTCACAGGATAGAGTGTGATGATCTTTGAGTGATGAATAGCAGAGCCCGCCAAATGGGGAAGGGCAGCCCTGGAAGGTGAACCACCTCACTTATTAAGGGTCTATACAATATAGACTATATCTATATTCCTTCCTAAACATATATTGTTCATCTTGAAGTTATGAGTGCTCTAAAGAAGGGAGAGGGGGAAATACAAGAAATGGAAGAAATTGGTCATCTTATTATTATGGTCCCGTTCAAGGACAGGAAGAAGGAAAGGGGTTGCATTTCTTGGTTTGTAGCTAACATGATAGAGAAATGGTAGTCCATTTTCCTTTGAAAGAAAATGGCCCCAAATTTGTAATGCATATATGAAAATTATATTGAAATAGAAAACATTTCTAGCAATTTTTTTTTTTAATCCATAGGATTTGCTTCAAAGGTCACTCCAAAAATTGAACTACGAAATCCCAAGCAAGCTGCCCGAATTTCCCTATAAATTCTTGGTCTACATCCTGTAAAGGACCAGACAAGTCAAATCGGTGGTTTTTTGGTGAGTACACCTGCTGGTATCCTTTTCTTTTTAAGGAAAACCATACTTTTTCATTCCTATCAACGAGGTATCTGCTGCTTAGACAATGTGCACCTGGTGTGTCGTTTTGTGGCAACACGAGTGGCTATACACAGTAAGTTATTTTGAACCCACAATATAAATCCTTATTTCTCTGTTTAGTTTACATCTTGGTGGCCCAGGAGGAAAAAACTACTGCTGCTGTATGCATGTGTGAGCATCTTAGGAGAGAGATGAGGAACAATTATGTATTGCTTATAATTTGTCTTTTACACCCACAAATAGAGATCAAGTGTATGTCAATCGGCATTGTCTTCTGAAAGGGTTGGACACAAGGAAGGGCCTTGGTACAAGCTACGGAAGACGACTGTATTTTCTTGAATAATTCTCATGCCTTTTCTCATTTGTTACCTCACCTGTTGGATGATGTCAAAGTAACTATCAGAACCGCTAATTCATGGCAATCCAATTACAACATATGGAAATACACTTCCACAACTATATAATTCACTACAGATAGGAGGCATTATTATTCTGTGGGTGATAATTTTATGTACGCTACGGCAGGGATGGGAAACAAAAGAAAGAGGTAACTGGTATCATCTTCACCTGGAGCCTTGCACGGCCAGCCCTCCCCAGTCGCAGCCACAGCCCTCACATAGAGCTGGAAGGTAGAGGCCATAGATCCTTGTATGTCAGGGAGGAGTCCTGGTGACACTTATGTGCCCAGCAACTCCTCACACCCCCAACGCAACCCAAAGTCCTTTCTCGTATCCTCTAGGCTGGGATCTGGACTGAATTCAGGGACTTGGAGAGCCAAATTTTTTTAATTATAATTTTTTTCTTTTTATAAAAGCAAATTTATTAAAGGAAACCTGGAAAATAAAGAAAAAATATAAAATTACTTAAAATCCCACATTCCAAAGAAACCACAATTAACATTATGGTAAATTTATTCCTTTTTTGTTTGTTTTTTTTAACTATTTCATATATATTCTAAAATGTGATTTTACAAGGTAAACATAGTTGAGAACACGAAATTAATATTCTAGTCTACAACTATGCCATAATTTAGCCATTTTCATACATTATGTTTGCTATATCACATATAAATATATACTATTACATTCATTACATTATGTTACAAATACCACTGTAATGAACCAATTTGACTATGCATTTTACTTGTGTCTCTGATGATTTTCTTGGAGTAAATTTCCCTAAATGGAATCATTGGGCTAATGAGAATGAACACTGTAAAGCTCTTGATATATTCTAACCGTCCTCCAGAGATGAGCAGCCCATTACCTATTACACATGTCCTCCCACTACATATGACTGTTCATTTCACTGCACACATGTAATGATTGAGATCTATCATTTTAAGGTTTAAAATCATAAATAATTTCTACAGAAGTTCAGGAAACAAAAGCCTGTTCCCTCCCCTGGCACACCCCAGCCTTAACCAATATCAGGACTCTAAAGTAGAAGACAGTGTCATTTGATTGACATTGTACGTCAGCATCAATCTCTCAGATCTGTTTATAGGGAAAAGCATATGCGAGGCTTGCATTTATTCAGTGGGTATTATCACCACTTTTGTTCATTTCTATACTTTGTGCTTCAGGGGAACAAAAGAACATCTTTTTATTGTTTGTGAGAAGCTTAATTCAGTTGGGGAGTCCAAACAGCCAACTTAAAAATACTTACCCTTGGGTAGGTCACTTACATTCTCAAGGCCTGTTTCTTGTTTTAAATGAAAGACTCAATTTGTCTCTATCTAAAGAGTATCTGAAGGGGTTACTATTAAACAGATATGCGTGCAATTAAAGCCATTCATTATCTAGATGTCTAAACTTAACGGTGAACACCGTAATGTGTTTTGTCACTTCTCGGGCAATGGACGCACATCAGTTTAGGAGAGAAAGTTCCCCTAGGAAAATTTTTCAGTATGGCCTCTAAGGTTTCCTCTAGCTCTGACATCTGTAATTCATAAATAACAGATAAACTACCAAAGGATGAGAACCCCAAAGCAAAGGAATGGCCAGTGGGCTTCACAGAAAGGCTTGTAGAATCATGACCAGAATTTTAAAGGTGATAGAGCCTATGGTTCTGTCTAATCTTCATCCCTATGGCCCGCCCGCTCCCCGCCCCATCACCCCAGCACACATTCACTAAAAGTCTGCATTTGAAACACACCAAACATGTTTAAAGGGTAAATAAGCTTGTGAGCCCTGGCCAAATAGTTCAGTTGGTTACAGTGTCGTTCCAATACCAAGGTGGCAGGTTTGATCCCTGGTCAGGGCACATAGAAGAATCAACCAATGAATGCATAGATAAGTGGGACAACAAACCATTCTCTCTCTCTCGCCTCCCCCCTCTTCTGTCTCTCTAATAAAAAATAATAATAATTGCATGAATATTTAGCTAGCCTTCACCACCTACACCTACCAGAAATGTTAAAATTGTGTGACTAAACTACTGAGCTATACTGAGCAATTTCAGGGAGACTAAGCCAAACTTTGTGAGAAAGTCTGCCAGCTGCCAACTAATCTTTCTCTCTGAGGTAGATTGTCCCTTGCATATTAACATAGAGTACATACTTCATAAATATTTTTTGGATTCCTCTCTACTTAGATTTTTTTTTTTTTTTGCCACTTTGTAATACCGGTTTGGCTTTGTGCTTTAAAAAAATATATATTTACATATGTTGGGACAACTTCCAAAACCTAAAAGCATGAAGGAATTGTAATAGTTCCCAACTGGCTGTAATCTCAATCTTCGAACAACACAGACACTTTTTGACTATATTTCACAGTTAAAAAGTCTCATTTGCTAATATATTGGCCATTTGTCTTGCTTTGCGATTTGAATTGCAGACATGAAGAACAAGCTGTATAACCTATAACATTTTTCTAATTGATTTTCCCATCTTGTAAAAATCTGCATTTTTTTTAAAATTTCATACTAGAGGCCCAGTGCACGATATTCGTGCGAGAGTAGGCCTTCCTTCCCCCGGTTGCCAGTACCGGCTTCCCTCTGGCACCCAAGACCCGGGCTTTCCTCGCAGCCCTGGCTTCGTCCTGAAGGTCGTCCAGTCTAATTAGCATATTATGCTTTTATTATTATAGATAATTTTTGCTGGTTTTCCATGACTCTCTTTTTATTGTGGTAAAATACGTATTTTAACCATTTTAACCATTTTTAGATGTACAGTTCTGTGGCATTAAATACATTCACATTGTTGTGTAAATACCACCATCCATCTCCAGAACTTTTTCATCTTCCCAAATGGAAACTTCTCATCTTCCCAATGGCAACCATCTTTCTACTCCTTGTCTCTATGACTGACTATTCTAGGTTTCTCATTTAAGTAGAATTATACATTTGTCCTTTGGGGTCTGCCTTATTTCACTTAGCATAATGTTTTCATGGTTCATCCATGTTGTAGCATGTGTCAGAATTTTCTTCTCTTTTAAGAGAGAATAACATTTAATTGTTTATATACCACCTTCTGTTTATCCATTAATGCATTTTTAAAAATATATTTTTATTTATTTCAGAAAGGAAGGGGGGAGAGAGAGAGACAGAAACATCAATGATGAGAAAGAATCATTGATTGGCTGCCTCCTGCACACCCCACACTGGGGATTGAGCCCGCAACCTGGGCATATGCCCTTGACTGGAATCGAACCCAGGACTCTTGAGTCCATAGGCCAATGCTCTACCCACTGAGCCAAACTGGATAGGGCCATTAATGCACTGATAGACATTTGAGTTACTTCCACCTTTTGGCTATGTAGTTAATAATGCTTTTATCATGGGTGTACAAATATATGTTTGAATCCCTACTTTCAATTCTTCTGGGTATACACCTTGTGGTGGCACTGGTGGATCATATGGTAATTCTATGTTTAAGTTCTTAAGGAACCACTGTACTGTTTGCCATAGCAGCTGCACCGTTTTACATTCCCACAAGCAATGCACAGTTGTTCCAATTTCTCCACACCCTTGCCAGCGCTTGTTATTTTGGGGATTTTTGTTTGTTGTTTTTTAAATAGTAGCCATCTTAATGCGTGTGAAGTGGTATGTCGTTGTGGTTTGATTTGTGTTTCCCAAATGATTAGTGATGTTGAGCATATTTTCATTTGCCAGTTGGCTTTTTGGGTATCATCTTTGGAGAAATGCCTGTTCAGCCCTTTGCCCATTTTTAAATTGGCTGATTTGTTTTGTTGTTGTTGCATTGTAGGAGGTCCTGATGTATTCTGAATATTAATTCCTTAGTAAGGGTTGCCTTTCACTCTGCTGATAGTGTCCTTTGATTCACAAAAGTTTTTCGTTTGATGTAGCCCAGTTTATCTATTTTATTTTTTTTTTCTTTTGTTGCCTGTGCTTTGGGTGTCATATCCAAGAAATCAAAGCCAAATCCAATATCATGAAGCTTTTCTTCTATATTTTCTTCTAAGAATTCTATAATTTTAGCTCTTTCATTTAAGTCTGTGAGTCAGTTTTTGCATGTGGTGATGGTAAGGGCTAGGATTATTTTTAAGGAGGTACTTTTCAATCCCACTAAGTCCCAGTGAAGATGTGTGTCAGCCAGTTAAGCACATGGCACATGTTGACATCCAGTGTTCATTATTTTTCTATGCAGTGTTGGCTTTGGTGGTTTCCCAACAAACAGGTGAGACAAAGCTGAAGCGGTCGGGGAACCAAGAGCTGTCTCAGCTCTTGTCACTAGGATACAGCAGGGAGGCAGTGGCTGGGATCAGGACGCATTTTGATGTAAACATGCTTAATGAAATCCCCAGCAAAGGAACAGCAGAGGTCGGTCGCGTTTTAGACTAGAAAGAAAAAAGTCTGTGTGTGATATGTATGCGTATCTGTGTGGCAGCAGAGGGGAAGAGAGAGGACACACCACCCGGGATGTGGCTGTGAATTAGGAGCTACAGTCAGTATATTTATTTATTTATTTATTGCATGAA